TAGAAAAAATATTCTTTATTTATTTTTAAATTGTAATTTACTATGAGTATTAAATTCCATAAATTGTAACTAGAATAATTATGTGTGGATTGTTTAATCCGAGAATAACCAATTTATGCACTTTTTATTTTATGTCATCAAATTTCCAAAATTCTTGTGGAATCATGCATTTTAATAATCTACTAAGATCTTATAATTAGTACTTCTCACCATTTTTGTTTTCGAACGAATTAATAATCAAAGCTAGTATGTTTTATTACAGAAACAATACTATTATTTATTTCCTGGCCATTAAAAATAAACAACATATATCTCTAAGAATAAAACATACATTTGTTAAATGCACATAAGCGTAGATTAAATAATTGTCTACGTCTAATAAAACCCAATAAAATACCCTTTTTAAATAATTCTTATCCAATAAATCCAATAAATTACCCTTTTAAAATAATTATTATGTCATTAATTCTATACTACTTCTTTAGAAATTTCCTATATTGTAATATTTACTACTTCTAATCTGTTGAATTTAAACTTTAAAATATATGATTAATGCCCTACTTTACCTATTTACTTCATATATATTTTTACCACCTGTTGATATATATATTTCCTTTTCTTCTTACTCCTCTTTCGATTTCGCTTGAAATTCTGCATCTCCATTCTCTGGCACTTTCGTGTTTTCATATCCTCGTCTACTGGCTCATCGTGGCGTCTGGCATAGCGGCGTAGCTCTCTGGTAGAGCGGCGTTGTTTCTTGGTAGAGCGATCTGGCTCCTAAAAAATCGTTATTGCTCCCTGGTAGAGCGGCGTTCTCCTAATTACTTGGCGTTGCTCCCTGGTAGAGCGGCATTCTTCTATAAAATCGGCGTTGCTGCCTTGCAAAGCGGCGTTGCTCCCTGGCAAAGCGGCGTTGCTTCCTGGCAAATCGGCGTTGCTTCCTGGCAAAGCGGCGTTGTTTCTTGGCAGGGCGGAATGGCTCCTTAAATCGATATTGCTCCCTGGTAGAGCGGCGTTCTCCTAATGTACGTCGTTGCACCCTGGCAGAGCGACGTTCTCCTATAAATATCGGCGTTGCTGCATTGCAAAGCGGCGTTGCTCCCTGGCAAAGCGGCGTTGCTTCCTGGCAAAGCGGCGTTCCTTCCTGGCAAAGCGGCGTTTCTTCCTGGCAAAGCGGCGTTGCTCCCTGGCAAAGCGGCGTTGCTCCCTGGCAAAGCGGCGTTGCTTCCTGACAAAGCGGTCTGAATCCTATTTTTCACTTGTGGACATCTTGTCCGGACATCAAAGGGCGTTGTTTAGGGCTGGTCGGAAACTGCGTCGATCCATATGTGACCCCAAACTCCCTCCAATCTATTTACCTAAATTTGTCACCATCACAGTCTGGGGAAAAGGTCCTTAGAGCTTATCCCTTCACACCGTGACGTGACAACCTCTCCTCTAGTTTTGTCCTGTCGTGGACACTGCTTGGGGGTTGATCGGAATTGTACCTCGATCGGATGTCCCCAAACTTTTTTCTTTTTCTTACTTTCTTTCAACTGGTACGGACCGCATTTCTCTAAAACACAAAATTCACACATTACTACATAATCACTTAACATATCAACTTTTGCTCTGCCTCTTTTGGGCAGTCCAAACCTCTTTAAATCATCTTAAGATGTGCTTATTCGCACATCTCGCATTTGTACGCCTTTTCTTCTTTTTCGTGCGTATACAACACGTCCTCTTCCTCCTCAAACTCTATTGCTGATGGCCTTGAGAACATATTTAATCTAAAACACTGTATATCTATATTATTATTTTTAATTCACAAAATTTAAACCTTATAACATACTTCTGAAAAAAAATTATTATTTAAAAATGCCAATTTTTCATTAACGCTGTACGTCGCTGAACTAACTTTACCTATATTACTGACCTACGACAACTGATAGCACTGCACTTTGAAATAAATACTTTGCGAAAATGTAATACAATATTTATAGTTCATTATAGTTCAATGTCAATTTTTATGTAAATAGTGACAATATTTACCTTTAAATTCTTTATCATCTAAACTAGATATACTTATACATCATCAACCTATTTAAATATTTTCCCTTCGCAATTCTTATTTAACATCATAGTTATTTTAAAATAAATTAAAATTCTCCTTTTGAATAATTTTCTCTTTATTGAAATGATGACTTTTTGTACACAAAGAAATATAATATTATAAATAAAATTGTATACTATTTTCGACTTGACCCTAATGTTTATTGTTACAATTATTTTCAATGTCAATGTTTTGTTTAAACAACTACTTAGTTAAAACATTATATTAAATTATCATCTATTTATTTATCTTTGTTTTTTATCAATTCTGGTTCGCTAATTTATTTAATAAAATGAAATTTGCATTTATCACTTGACTTCTGTATCTACTCAATTTAGTTTATTAAAAGGCACTTGTCCTCTCTAAAAAAATTACAAAATTTAAAAAAAATGTCTGTAAAAAAATGATATATCTCCTTATCCTTATCTTTAATAACAAATTTTCCCTTTTCCTTCCAACCAGTCAAATACTATCAAAAAACACCGCTTGTCACCAAATGTAACAACCGGTTAGCCTAAAGACCAACGCTCGTCACCAAATGTAACAACCAGTTTACCTAAAGACCATTTGTAACTACTGATAGGTCTTTAGCTACTGTTGTTAATATGCTATTAAGGGATTAGGGCAGCGACATCACCAGCCAAAGGGTCCTGGAGTCCTGAAGGAACATCCATTCGCCAGTGGCAAAAAAAAAATAATAAAGAAAAATAATAAATTACAAAAAAACATCCCTTAATAGCATATGTCGAGCGGTTCTTGGCAACTAGTTTTAGACTCTTTTAGTCCTAAGGGAATAGAAACGCCGAGGCTTCTCAAATGCTCGGAGTATTTTGCTGGTTTGGGAAAGGAGGAGAGATTAATAATAAGTATTAAAACATTAACAAATGTATATTAACAATAACTATAAAACTTGACAAATAGTCTTCAGAAAAAATGAATAAAATTCCATTTAGGGAATAATGCACTAACTAATAGTAATAAAGATATGCATAAGATATAATTCGGGACGAAAATGTAAAATTGGCATTTATATGTAAATCAATTAATCAATTATTATTAAACAAAATTAAGTTAAAATATTTACCCATAATTCACATCGTACACAAAAAACTTTACACATTAATTTACAATAAAAAACCAGGGTTTCGCCCGAGGAGCGAAAGTTCTGGACCTTAGTCCGAACCCGACTAAGCCTTTCCCCCAAGTGATCCTTTCTATATAAACCAAAATTTATGTGACTGTTGATTGTATTTTACAATGTCACGTTCAATGTAAATTAATAAAATGAAGGTTTGTTTCATTGTCATAAGTGTCTTTTTAATTATTTAATTTAAACATTAAATACTTGTTTAGAATTTTTGGTAAATTCTTTAGATTTTTTCAATTAATAATAATGCCAATTATTACAATCTGCATGATTGTTGAAAGTCAATTGGGGATCTAAAATAACTCCGAAGTATTTAATCGTATATACTTGTTCAATGGCAATACTGTTTATATGGATGATAAAGTTACATGCCGCAAAATCGTTACAGGTCGATTTAGATCCCAGTGCCATAAACTTGGTTTTATTTTCAATTAATTTTAATTTATTGATACACAACCAGTCATACAGAATACTTAGTTCACTGTTTAAGGTGCAAGCAGCTTCCTCAAAATCACTAGTCGCGACAGAAATGAGTGTGTCATCCGCGAATAAACTCACAAAAGATATTTGCAACACATCCTTTATATCCTTTGTGTATATAATAAACAATAATGGGCAAAGGACGCTGCCTTGTGGTACACCAAAATTACACTCGGTTGCATTGGACACAATATTGCCTATTTTCGTTTGGTGGTAACGGTCTTGAAGGTAGTTGTGAATTAATTTTATGGCTTCTGATTTTGTACCAAATTTCTGTAGTTTATAGAGTAGCAGTTTTCAATCATCTGTTTCGAAAGCACGCTTTAAATCCACAAATACACTCAAAACTACCTTTTCTTTATTAATTTCTTTCTTCCAATTAAAACATACAAACTGCAACGCTGTTTTACATTTATGGCCATCACGATATTCTTAAGCACAAGATATTGTTTCTTTCAAAGAATAGCTTCAATTGATCTCTTAAAACAATTTCAATAATGTTATCTACACTTAGTAGTAAATTAATTGGCCCAAATTGTTCTGGTAGAGTTGGCGACGGAACTTGGCTATTGCCACTATTACACTAATTTTAAGATCTGAAGGGATTCGTGCACTAGTCATTTCTGTATTTACAATATTTAGCAGGGGATAACTGTCAGTTTTTCTACTAATGACTTCCAAAGAAGCTGAGTTTTAAGAATTTTTCAACCATTTTAAACAGATCCAATGAGTTTTCCTCTAAGAATTTGTCGTTTTTCTGTTATTTAACGTTGAAATGTTCCAATTCAGTTTTTGGCGAGCAAACAACCCATAACTTGGTTCATATTGCATCTACAGAAATGAAAAAAATACCAATCGACTCGATATTTAAAAAGCTTTTCTTTATCACTTTAGTTTAAAAAAATTCGTAGCGAAAAACCGTTAAACACTTGACTATAATATCTTCATCTTCACTACTATTGCATAATAATAAAGACAAGAGCACATATTCTAAAAATTTAAAATAAAACCTGACACTAACCTCTAAATCGGCTTAAAAAATCCAAACATCAAGCAAGCTTGTCTACCTTTTAAACAAAAATTTAACTCTGTCCCTGTACCCAGCAATTCAAGCTGAATGCAACTATGTGTTCAGTTTCACCAGCCGAATAAATGGCACTTAGAAAAGTCGAACTAAATTCGCACCAGTGCGACCAGTGAATGCGCTATATTTTTTTTACCAAAACTGATTTAAATAATTCCTAAAAGTGATCCAAAATTTAATCGTTAACCATTTTACAGCCCGCAGCAGCACCTCTCTGAAGAGAAGCGAAATAAATTGTTCGAAGATCTCAGGAAGTGCGTACAGACCCAAGTGAGCAACAGCAACAGAAACGCTTCATCGAACACAGATTGGTGTAAACGGATCGATCCTCTACTCTCAGAAAATAACGGACACTTAGGTAAATACACGTGTTGAAATTAATCATTAAAATCGCCGGTATTTACCTAGTTGCCAAATTCCAAAGTAAGTAAGTAGAAAAACAAAAACAACAAATTGTAGTTTAGTCGAAACGGAATAATTTTATATTGCTGTGGAAAAAGTTAAAATATTTTTTTTTTTTTAATAATATAATTATATGTAAATCGTTATCAAAATTAGACAAAGACTTTTGATTTTATTATTTATTAATATAGGAAGCTTTAAAATAACAAAAACTATATTGGTCAGTACACATAAATGGTTTCGTGATTTATCAATTTATTTTATTTTACGTCTTGGTCACATTTGAGTTGAAATTATTTTCCTTTTATAAAAATTGCCAGCCTGGCTTTTCAGTTCCACCTAGTTTTATTTATTAATTTATTTTACGTCTTATTGTTAGTCACATTTGAGTTCAAATTATTTTCCTTTTTTAAAAATTGGCAGCCTGGCTTTTCAGTTTTATAACTTGGTACTACAAGCAACCTTTAATTTTGTTTACTAGGAACAGATGGCAACACCATTCTTACTACTTGAACTCATATTCTTTTAGTAACGTATCATTAATGTATATTAGTAAATGTGTTGCCTTCGTTAATTCCATTAGATACTGGAATTGAGAACTATCTCTTTCTTGCTGAAGAGTCCTAATAAGGACGAAACCGGTCCAAGAATAACGTTCTCCTTAGTGAGCAAAATCAAAGGTAGAGTGTTGAAATTTAATTTCTGTCTCTGCTGTCTTCCTTTGGGTGTAATTCAATACCTGTTGAGGTATTAGCCAAAGGAGTAGTTGTTTTCCGAAGGGAAACGGACGCACCTATATAATTTTGTGACATGGCTCCGTCACAATTTATAGCTAAAAAATCAGTTAGCTCACTCGGACCAATTGGATGTTTCAAAATAACATCCACTCCAGGAATGCAAATTCAGGATGCGCAGAAGACTGCTGTTTGAATATAGGGGGTTGTCATATTGTATTGGTAGTAGTAAGAGAGCCCACTGCAAATTTTGACCGTCATCTGATAATGAAATGAAATATGCTTTAAAAGCATGTAACAACATTGTACTTTACCAAATTACACCTGTACCAATCCCTATCCTGAGAAGAGTGGTTAAAAAAAAATATTTTATATTCAAAAAATCACAATGACAAAAAATGACATGACAGGAACAATTGTGTTTTCCCTGAAAATTACAGTCCTAATTCCTTGTGAAACCTGTATTAATATATTTCTACACCCACATGGATATTAGCTTATCTACGCACAGACTACAAAACGAAAAAGTATGTCATTGCGTTCAACTAAACGAATATATTTCATATCCATTCTAGGTAGTGAGAACACTGCAAAAAAATGAAATCCACCAATCACAGTTCATATTTTGGACACCCAACTACTATTATTTTTAAAATTTTAAATAAGTGTCAAACTAATTGTCAGTATATTTTTTAATTATTGAGATTAAATATACATTAAAATTAATTATTTTTGTATAGAATCGATAAATAATCGTATATAATAACATTTTTATTTTTATTTGAACCATATTTTGAAAAAATAAAAAAATTAATTTTAATCAAACTATATGAAACTATTTTTAATACGGGTATTAAAGCAAAATCGTAAAAGTGGCCGTAGACGCCTTCCACGGGAAAAGCCGGGGATTGATTCTCGGCTAGAGACTTTCTTTGTCATATTTATTTTATTTTAAAAATCAGTAAAATTCATAAATTATTTTAAAATAGTTATTTTGTCTTAATAACCTAAAATATTTTTTAATTTGTAGATTTTCGTTAGTGGGTCGTAGAAAAAATATACTGTACAACTCGAGTTTATTGTCCATATCCACTCTTGTTGCACAAACTACTATTCTGGAAAACTTTAAGGGCAAACAAAATTGGCGCCGTCATACCTTATGTGATTTTTCTAAAATAAAATATTTTTTTAACCACTTTGCTTAGGATTGGGATTGGCACAGATGCCATTTGGTAAAGTACAATGTTTTTACATGCTTTTGGGGTATATTTAATTTCGTTATCAGATTACGGTAAAAATTTGCAGTGGTCTCTTGTGCTATTATGATTTGATTCTGTATGCGTCAGGGATACAAATCTGAGTTGTGCAATGTATAAACTGGAACATTCAGATTAAAAGTGCCGAGGCAGAGTGAGCGAACTGATTCTTTAGCTATAAACTGTGGCTTCGTGTTTATTAATTTATTTTATTACACATAAATTTAGTTTAAGAGTGAAATAAAATTTACATATTTAAATAAAATAGACATACATGTTAATTTGTGGACCAGGAATAAATTGTATCAATTGTTTTTTAAATTGAGGTAGAGAGGCACTTGTTTTAATTGCAGTAGGCAGAGCATTAAATTCACATAATCCATATATAAAAATAAAAAACAGCTTTTTTTATATTCGAAGTAAGGTTGTAATATGTTTTCATCTAAAATAAATCTTAAGTATTTAAATTCACTAACCCATTGTACGTCATCGTTTTCAATTCTAATTTAATATTTATTGCAGTTTAAAATATTCTAATATGTGATCACGAACCACAGTTTCTAATAATTTCAAATTGTGGTAGATAGTGCCTCAGACAAAATCGCACTGGCCTAGACTCGACATGTTTTTTTTTTTTTAACTGTTATGCAAAAACTAATTTTGTGTTTTTCACTTTTAAATAGAGCAAATAAAAGACACCCCTTGAGATATATATTAGACAATTATTATAAAAAAAATAGTACCTAATATTGAGTTAATTCCGAGGATATATCACTCACCTTTTTTTTATGTAGTTACGAGAAATCACTGGTGTTTCGCTTGTTTTTCTCATTCCTTTACGCTGCTCACGCTTCTCCCAGATGCGCTTCAGTACGATAACTTCACTGAATTCGTTTCACTGCGCACCACACTCGTGTTTCTCGTTTATGTAGTTTATGTGTTCATAGTTTATAAATCAAATCGATCCTTCTGTCCTTCTGGTTGGAGAAATGTTCAATAACTAGCTCATTAAAAATACTTCTAATTAAAAGTTTTTCAATACTTAATATTGCTAAAGCTCCCAATATTGGCTCCCCCATTGTGTTTCTTAGTAAAGTATTAATTCTTCTTAAGGTCAAAAAGCACCGTTCACTTTCTACTGTAGTCATTGGAATAGTATATAAAATCTACAATAATATTCCAATCTCCGAAAACGTTTCACCCAAATTCATTTATAACAACAGCTGTAAAATAGCAACAGCACTCGCGCTGTTGTAAAAATCTTCATGACTTTATAAAACTTTCAATTTAGATTTAAGCTTTGAAACGTTTATCATATCATAATAATTATTTTTAACAGATTTTAAAATGTTTTCAGGAAACTCATTTTTATAATGAGCAAAATTATATGTATCAAGCAAACGTAAAACTATTAAATGTTATGTAAAAGTAAAACGACAGCGGATACAGCGGATTTATAACAAAATTATATCACATATTTTTAAAGAAATTCTTCTTTTGGAGCCTTCCTGATGTTTTCTTTTAGAGCTGCTCGCTCTGAAATTACATAATTTGTTCTGTATTGTTTTGGAAACTCCTTTTTTTACTGTACTTTTTTCAAATCTACTTTAAAAATACTGTCTAGTTCCAAAACAAAATCTATTAATCCTCGAAAGATTCCAGGATTTTCCTAAAACTCTGATTATGCCCCCGTAAAGCGAGTTCAAATGAACCTCGGGACTTTACACAGTCAATAATTTTGCCTAAAATATACCTGTTTTGCGTTATATTATCATTATGGTCTTTTATAGGACTTACGATAAGCACAACTTAATTGAGTTCTTATATCAACGCGTCCAAGGCTACCGAAATTCATAGCATTGTTCATATATATGGTAGAAGAAGAATGTTTTGCCACTTTTCTTTAATTTTTTTATGTCAATAACGCCAGTTTTAGGCCATAACGTCTCATCAGTACAAAGCAAAGTACAGGGAAAACAAAAAAGGAATTTTTTACATTGCATCCACAAATCAAGTCAGAAATGTCCTACATAGTTGGCTTAAAATACCTGTTAATTTCTTTACCTCTGTCTTTTGTGGTTTCTTTTAGACCTAGAAGAGGTTTTAGGCGTCTCTTTTCTTTTATTTCTAAACGTTTTTCAAAACTTAATGTGTCGCTAATTTTGCACTGAAGTATTTCTTGCACTGTCATCATAGAAGCCATTGGTAAATGTTTAATAATATAATAACTACAAACTACAATAACTGTATCCTACGCGATTGCACAGTCCAAAATATCTAGATAAATAGTCAAAAGAAGAACATTTCGAAAATCCATGAACTGAAACACAACACGAAACAATAATGAAAAAACGTAAACCACTAAGCCGAGCCGTTTGTTTGGATTTTTATTTTCAGCTTGATGTGTAAGTTCGTAGGCGTAAGGTCTTTCGAACACGTGTCATAGATATATTTGTTGCATTTTGGGTCGAGGGCCGTCGATAATTACTTGTCTCTTTTCAGCTTCAGAGCGAGGCGTATGCTGTTATATCTTTGTCTTGCAATGCATTTATTCTTGTGAATTGCCTTAAAGCTCATGAGGTCAATTTTAAATACGGCCAAACCAGGCCAAGAGGCGCAGGATAGGAATGAATTGTTATTAGACATTAGTAATCTAGGCTACATTAGTATTAATTGGGGACTTTTTACATGATAATGTAACTGCATTTTTGTAAAAATAGTTTATTAATAAATATTTAAAATTGTTTGAAATAAATTATATGGTTCATTGACCAAATGACCTTATGAAGAAGCTGTGCCTGGTTAAAAGTGTATTGATAGATTATAAGTTAGAAGCGTTAGATATCGTTTGCATTTTTTTGGACTAGAACTATCTTGCTTGTTTTTAAATAATTGGGAAATGTTTCTGTTTTTAGTGGTGTGTTTATAAAATTTAATACTTCCTAACCAGTTGTATAAAATGTTTCCTTTAAACACTTAGCACTCAATATTTCATCATAATTTCCCTTAGTTTTTAATTAAAAAACAGCTTTTTTTTTATCTGATCTATGGTTATTAAATGATTGAGGTTAGGCTTTCGGGACTAAGGCTGTACGGGTCGAGTATATTAAGGCAAAACTTGGTAGATGGATGTACGAGTATTTACATATAAATATAAAAATCACAAAAAATTCCGCCCCCACACCCCTTAACAGATATTATGTAGGGGGTGTCGCCCTCAAAAAATTAAGGTAAATTTTTTAATAAAGCAGTTGCAATCTACGATTTTCTTTTTTCATACAAAAACAATATTTTAAATTTTTTAAATATGATTTTTCCAAAAAATTTCGATTGGAACCATCATGATACGGATCTGAGTGATGGCATTTAAAAATAGTTACATAGGAGATAAAAATTTCGTTTTTGTCATATTTATAATACACCTTATGTATGTACTTGTATAAAAATCTTACTCTCACCATCCCCTGGAGGTATGGGCGTCCATTAATTACGTGAGGTGTTCAAGCTAAATCTTTCCAAATCTCACTTGGGGGAGAGGGGGGTCTTTGTAAAGCTGACGTATTTTTTTTCTAGTAGAAAACGGTGTAAAATTGCGTGAAAATTAAATTAAAGTAAAGAATGTTTCTAGAAATTTTTAGTTTTAAATAAAAGTAATAAAACATATTGTTTGTTTTTTTAATAATCCAATGCATTTACATCCAAAACACAAATTTTGAAAAATCTCACGAGAGATTAGGGGAGGGGGGAGGGAGTTGAGGAAAATCTTACGAAATCTCACCAGGGGGGGAGAGGGGGTCAAAAAATCCTCAAAAATACCTCACGTAATTAATGGTCGTCATCTTTTTGAAAAGTTAAAAAACGACTACGATGCTGACAAGGGCTCTGGTATATAAAAAGTCCTCATCCTTGTAATGAACTTCAAAACAAAAGGTCCTCAGCTTATATATTTTTGTAAATATAACCATTCCAAAAATATAACCATTCTAAAAATATGTGCTGTCAGTTACAAAAGCACAAAAGACATTTGTCATAGAAAATGACAATTTGTCGTAGAAGAGGACATTTTAAAAAGGACATTTTAAGCTTTAAAAAGTCACAAGGACATTTTGCTTCAAAAAAGGACTGTCCTTTTCAAAAATGGGAGATGGTGGGGATGGCATCCCCAAAAAAGTCGAAACTTTTTAAATAAAACTGCTATGATTTTTTCATACTAAAAATTTTCTATTTTTTTGGGGATGCCCACCCCTATCTCCCTCTAAATGATGGTGGGGATAAGATTTTTATACAAGTACGTTGTAAATCAGGTGTATTGTAAATACCAAAAATTAGATTTTCATCTACTTTCTATCTATTTTTAAATGCTAGCCTCGCATCCGAACTATGAGGGTTCAGGTCAGGTCGAAAGTTAAAAAAAAAATATGAAAAAGATTTGTTTTGGGTTAGAATTTAGAATAAATTGTGCCTGACTGACTCACCCTTATACAGATAAAAATATTTTTTATTTATTTAACGGATATACCATTTTACAGAAAAAGAATATAATATGCAAGAGACTGTTAAAAGAGATAATATAGATATCAAACACCATTAGATATTACAATAATGAACTAGAATGAAGATATATTATGCCTGGCATTCTGTATTATACTCTTCACAGTTTAATAGACCCCCGTAACCCCCATTTTCAATCAGATTTTTTCATAATCAATAGACTTCATCCCCTTATAAAGCTTGATTTTTCCTGAAGATTTCAATTTGATATCGTTTATTGTTTCTGAGTTATGATTTTCAATATTTCAACCCCCCTTATCTCCCCATTTTTATTTATTTATTAATGTATTTTTTATTTATTCATTCATTCCCTTTTAGAGCTTGATTTTACTAAAAAATTTCACATTGACATCGCTTTTGGTTTTTGATTACTATTTTTTTTATTTCAACCCCTCCTGACCCCCATTTTATTCAGAATTTTTATAGCAATAGACGTCCTCTCATAGAGCTTGATTTTTACTAAAAATTTTATGTTGATATCATTTGTTTTGAGTTAGGATTTTTTTTATTATTTTAACCTCCCTTAACCCCCTATTTTTATTCGAATTTTTTCAAAATTAATATGTTTCGTCCCTATATAGAGCTTGAGTTTTACTAAAAATTTCATGTTGATATTTCTTTTCGTTTTTGATATATGATTTTTTTTAATTTTAACCTCCCTTAAACCCCCCTACCCCTATTTTTCATTAGATTTTTTTCAAAATCGAAGTTTTTTTAAATATTTAAACCCCCCTTATCCCAATTTATTCAGATTTTTTTCAAAATTGATAGGTTTTTCTTCTTCTAGAGCTTGATTTTTACTACGTAGGTTGTAGCAAATTTTACATAAGGCTGAAAAAACTTAATAATGGGACCAACAACTCTTCAAATAACAGATTTTATAATCTAAAATACTATGTAATGGATATAATAAAATTATATTACAAAATGATATTGTAGGAAGGTTTAACAAAGTCAAAATATGTCATGTCATGTACAGTAATATCTCAGCTTGTGACAAAATCCCATATAGCAGCTTTTGACTTGACAGGAACGATATCTAAAATGGTGTTATGAATTATTATCTTTACTAATCATACAGTTCTTACTGATAATAAAATTGGTATTCAATTTCCCTTTCATATGGTTCTGCGAATCATGTCTTATTAAAAAGTTAATCAGCTTTTAAAATTCCCCACAGTTTATTTTTTTATATAACATACAAATATTTTTTTTTCATTTAGCACATTTTTAAATTGTTTTTTTTTTTTGTAGGTATGAACGGACGAGATTCTTAGGACTGACAAAACTCCAGGAAGTACAATGGTTATTTTAACCGTTTCGCAGTTAACATTGTTCATTTAGAATATGCCAGGACGGTGAACGCTGTACGGGCATATTTCGCAAAAAGTGCTATAAGTTCGTATGTGATTCAAAAGTTCTTAAATAGAAATTAGAACGTTAGTTAGTTAGTTAACATTATGCAGACACCGTTTAATTTATTTTTATTTTTAAGGACTAAGTAAATGTAAAGTTTGTTATAGCTTTTTAAATAGATAATGTATCTTGTATATTATTGTAAACTGTACATAAAACTGCATTAGTATGTAAATAAAACCAGTAAATTTAGAATTATTAAAAAATCATTTTTTCATTGCCTTTCTTTTAAAAACCTTTATCCTTTTTACATAATTTTTTTTATCATACATTACATAATAAATTACAAGTTATAAAAGTAATTTTAAAAAACCGACTTGAAAATCGTGCAGATGCCATCACTACATCTTGACCAAATTGATAGAGGACCACCCCTGAAGTATTCCCTTTCTAACAAAAAAAGAATCATTGAAATCGGACACCTTGTTAAAGAACTATCACTGAACATACATTAAAAAAAATATTTCGACGAATTGAGAACCGTCTTTTTTGAAGTATGAAGGCCATTTCATTAAAGAAAAATACAGAGACGTCAGAAACTAAAGGTGAGATTACAGAACGTCTGCAAATATGGAGGCAACTTTGCAGATCTGCAAGTTTTCGTTTTCCAAAAAATATTTGCAATATGTATTGTGGTTTATTACCCCCAACAACACTAAACCCAAATCTATTACAATGTTTAAAAACTATAATCTCCGACACCACGAACTGTATTCAATCAAAAGAAACGGAAAAATTCATGGTTATTAAAAAAAAGTAAATTAAAAATTGACAATCTGAAAGTTTGTAGAATGTTCTAACCTTCTGAAAAGTTACAGATGATTTGCAGACGCAAAAAATGAAAACAGGTTTCTGTAATACCATATGTTTCTCTTTGTAACTGCAACTGATATTTGCATATGCAAGTACAATTTGCAGAGCTTCTGTAATCTCATCCTTAAGGGTGGATTTGGGTTTAATGTTGTTGGGGATAATAAACCACAATATATATTGCGAATTTGCAGATATTTTTTGGAATACGAAAACTTGATACTTGCATCTGTAAGTCCGCCATATTTGCAGATCTGCACAGTTGGCGCCATATTTGCAAATCTGCAAAGTTGCAGACGTTCTGTAATCTCACCCTAAATGTTGACTTGTTTACCTACAAAACAATGACCTCAGTGGCGCGCCGTGAAGGATAATTCATAGTCGTTTGTCGATGCCATATAGAAGAGGTTAGCGGCTATCTTCACCTGAAGTTTCAGGTCGTGTTTGAAAGAGTATTATTCGAAGAATAATTATATCTTTTGAGTATTTTAAGACCTGGGATTGTTTATAACGAGTGATCCACAAAAAATGTTTCTAAAGTAGGCCTTCACATATGTCGACTGAACAATCGTTCTTTCTAAGTGTCAGTTTGAATTTAATTCAGAGCCTCGCGAAATTATCACGGAAATGACTCGTAACTCAGTATTTGTCGGTCATGGTCTACTTTAAGGTCTATTCCAACAACGATCAGAAACCAGTCACTGACACCAGAATTCAATTCAATTTTTCGTAACCTTTTCATAATATTCAGCATTGTGCAACTGAATGCGTAAAGAAGATCATTTTGTAACGTGCTGCTAATACAAAAAATGTCACGTTATATGCCAAAATTGGAAAAAAAAATTATATTACTCAATATTAACGCGATCCACAAATTTTTTTTGCTAAAGGTCTGTTCCAACAACGATCAGAAACCAGTCACTGACACCAGAATTCTGCGCAGTACCTATGCGATTTGGCGGTCCAAATAATCTATTACGCAGAATCCTGGTGTCAGTGACTGGTTTCTGATCGTTGTTGGAACAGACCTTTAGCAAAAAAAATTTGTGGATCGCGTTAATATTGAGTAATATATTTTTTTTTTCCAATTTTGGCATATAACGTGACATTTTTTGTATTAGCAGCACGTTACAAAATGATCTTCTTTACGCATTCAGTTGCACAATGCTGAATATTATGAAAAGGTTACGAAAAATTTCATTACGTCACAGGTTGCAAAAAGAAAACAAAAATAAACCATTTTTGGTTTTAAAATCAATATATACATTACTAGTATTTGCACGCGTGGTGTCGTGTTTATAATTTAAAAAAAAAATGAATAATTATTTATTTTTAGTAATTTTTATTATTATTAATTTTTATTAGTTTTTATTAATTAATAAAAATTATAATTTTTATTAATTTTTAATACCTTTTAATAATTTTTAATGATTTAATTTTTAATAAATTCTATTAATTTTCAAATATTTTTTATTTATTTTAACTAATTTTTAATTATTTTATTTATTTTTAATTTTAATTATTTTTATTTGTTTTTATTTATTTTTTTTTTGTTTTTTTTTTTATTTTTACGATACTCCCCATTATCCTTCCTCCTTAAAGTGTGAAAATCCAAAAACCTTGAAATACGTCACTATTTACTTATGATGACCCAGACAACACAATTCAATCCATTGGATGTCCATCGGAAGTCCATTCATGTACATATCGGCTGTCCAAAGGACATCCAGCATTTTACCAAAGGACATCCACTGGACTATACAAATGTCCCACTCCTGGACGTCCATTTGGACTCCATGAAAGGTCCATATATGGACTCTTTTTGTATTGCTTTTGGACAATTTATGGACATCTGACGGACATCACCACCCATATTAATGTGAAATAAAATAATTGCAACTATTGACTTATTTTTATTGTCATAAATAATATCAAGCATGTATTAGATTTATATGCACTCCTTTCTGTTGACCTTTTCAGCCATTTTCTTAAGGCTATTTCGCTTACTTTTTAAGCAGCACCATTGTCACTCTCAGCAGCAGCTAAAAAAAGACATTACATTTTATAGGAATATTGAGTCTTAAATCAATCATTTAATAAACGCCTGATCAGGCAAAAGTGATAGTTAAAAATGTAAAATTTTTAGATAAAATATTATTAGCTAATATGAAAATATGCATTGACTAATGTACTTTAACCCTATACTTACATATAAACAAAAAACTGCTCATTGTTTCTTTAAATTACCATTTTACTTTCATGCCATCATATTATGTGAATTCTTTCATAAGGGTATTAGAAATTATGGAAACAAACCATCTTTTTATAAGTTCGTCATGTCCTTGTCCCTGGTTTTGGTAAAATTGCAATAAAAATATGTATTTGTGAACATAAAAGAGAAATAACTTATGAAACCACTTTCAATGCATTATTTCTTAAACGTTACAAAACGATTCTATTTTATTTAATAAAAGTAAAACTTACAGCTTCTTTAAAAATATTTGTATCTTCTTAATAACCTTCTACTTCTGCTAACGTCTCATGCAGTACAAATCAGAGATAATGTCTTCTCTCTGGTACAAATAGAAACTCTCACCTCTTAGTTACAATAATAATTATGTTGACATCATCTCGAATTTGCAGCATATTAGTTAGCTCTTAGTAAAGCCATTTTCTTAAATAGGTAGGTACATCATTTGACAAAAGGTCTAAAAGAAAGGGATTCTTTGAATGTAAATCGAAAACATAAAGTTTAAAACATAATTGATAGGTTATATTAGTTTAAAACAAACGATTTGCTTTTTAATTTTTAGATTTTTAAATGATTTAATTAATAATTATACTTATTTACTTGTGTGAAGATAGCTCCCGGAGCTAGCTCCCATTTCCAGCTCCCACCCCCCACCAACAAGCCCAATTTACACAGCACCACTATTTTTAATTATCAGAGTAAGAGACTGCTGTGCATATGATCATCACTCTGTGTTACATATTAAACCAAATTACGATATCTTCATAACTTATACAGGGTGTAACAAAAAGTTGTATAGTATATTAAACCGAAGTTTCTGGGATCGAAAATAAGCCGATTTAATGTAACTTGATTATATAAAAAAGAATATTAAAAAAATTACAGGGTGTTAAAGTAGAAATTTTAGAAGTGATTTTTTACTCTTACTCTAAATCGGTTTAAAATATTTTTATGGCGTTTCTACTCAAAATATGGTAAAAACATACAAAATAAAAAATTTAAAAAATGGAAGTATTTTCAAGCGAATGTTTGGTTTAAAATATTTTTGATCTTTTAAATCGTTTAAATTTTAGCTATGAAACTATGACATTACATACTTGAAACCAAAGCTAAAATCGTTGAACCAGTCAGCGGCATATGAGCTGTTTTTTAGCCACCAAACAAAATAAATTTTAAACACCTATATTTAAAGTGACTTCATTAATTAATAGATGACAAAAATTGGGTGTAGGTGTAATAGCGGTTCCGCTAAAAAAAAAGTATAGTACCGAATTATATACAATCTATACAACGTTTTGTCAATTTTTTTTAAACATCGGTGATTTCTGTATATACTCAATACAATGAAGAACCGGCGCCAACACAAACTTTTCAAAGATATGGAGTCATACGAAAAGTAAATAAATAAACGAAAGACGAATTTTTGAAAAAATTATAATAATATAAAAATAATAATGATAAAAAAATAAAGAGTAAAAAAGAGGAATTTTGGAAATATTATAATAAATCATAACTACAAAAATCAGCTTTGAGACAAGATCAGAACTAGTACAATAAATAAATCCATTGCTCTACTATTTACACAGTAAAAATTTCAATTTCCTACATATACGGCGTCACACGAATAAAAAAAAAGAATAAAAAAGAAATATTTGGAAAAATCAAAATAAATCATAACTAAAAAAATCAGCTTTGAGACACGATCGGAACTAAAACAATAATTAAAGCCTATATCCTACTATTTACAGTAAAAACTTCAACTTCCCAAATATACGGCGTCATACGAATAAAAAATAAAGAGAAAAAAAGGTGAATTCTTGGAAAAATTAAAATTAAAAATAAATCATAACTTAAAAAAACAGCTTTGAGACACGATCGGACCTAATACAATAAATTAAGCCATTGTCCTACTATTTATAGTAAAAATTTTAACTTCCCAAATATACGGCATCATACGAATACAAAATTAAGAAAAAAAATGCATTTTTAGAAAAATTAAAATAAATCATAACTTCAAAAATCAGCTTTGCGACACGATCGGAACTAGTACAGTA